CCCTTTTTTTTTGATACGCGTCGGCCCCTCCTCTTCTTTCCTTGGTTTTACGCTTCTCCTGTATGGTACGCTGCATGGAAGCCATGTGAATTGTGCACTCTCAGAGACGTGAATGGGGGGACACGCACGCGAACAGGGTCTGAGTAATTTGACGGTGAAGAAGCGGGGGAAGAGGCGACGGATGCTGGAGTGATGATTAACTGCATTTAGGGTTGTGGCCGGGGGAAGGGATGTACTGTTGTCAATGACTGGGAAAGAGGATTGTTGTGCCGAGTAAGGAGGGGAAAAAACGGGGAAAAACAAGAAGGGGTGCCATATCAGCGGGAGTTTTTTTTTGGGTCGCCGTCCTGAAACTCAACCCACCGGGATGAGAAATGTGAAAGCGAAGAAGACAATGAAGTCGTGAAGGGTCGACAGCAGCTCTTCTATGGTGGCCGTAGTACCTTTTTTTCAGTAATTCCCTGCTCGCTTCTCTGAATTCACGGCGCAGAGTCACTGAGTTATCCTCTAGCACCACCCCACACCTGCATTTTGTGTCCGTAGAAGAGTCCCTGGGCGATTCCGGGCGGTGGGGATGCAAATTCCTTTGCACACTCCCGCAATGTGACTCCTCCTTGCACCCCTCCTGTTTTCTCCAAACAAAAAAAAATTACAGGGCAGTCAAAATCTCCGTGAGCTGGGAACAACGGGCAATATATACGTGCACGCATGTATATTTGTGCACCAAAACAATTATGTTAGTGCTTTATAATTATTATATAGAATTAAGTATTGACATTAATGGGACGTGCTTACCGTTTATTTATTTTTGCTCATTATTTGCTCGAACATCTCACCCTTTGTACATAATTGAAAGAACACCTTTTTTTTTTGGCTTTGGTGGGTTCTGTGCGACGTCCACTGGAGCTGTACTGGGCTCCTCACCTTTTCTTTTTGTGACCTCTGCCGTTGGCACTGTTGATGAAATCATCCCAGGTTTTTTTGTGCTGTAGCAAGTTTTTGGGTTTGTTTCGGTTTTATTAGCAAAGCTGCATATGGATTCAATTGATCAGTTTCTAGAGACCGTCAGTAAAGGCGCCTACCCCAGGGAGTCGGAGGTGATGAAGTTATGCCAGACTGCTCACAACATTCTTGATGCAGAGGCCAATACTCACGTGATACGCGCACCATGCACCATTGTTGGTGATATCCATGCTCAGTTTTTTGACCTTATCGAGATGTTTCGTGTAGGCGGAGAGGTCCCTGATGTGAACTACGTGTTCATGGGCGACTACGTTGACCGTGGACACCACGGCGTGGAGACATTCCTTCTTCTGGTCGCCCTCAAGGTCAAGTATCCCACTCGCGTAGTGCTTCTTCGCGGTAACCACGAGTCGCGCCAGATTACGCAGGTATACGGCTTCTATGATGAGTGTCTCCGAAAGTACGGCAGCGTTAATGTGTGGCGCTACTGCACGGAGGTGTTTGATCTTTTGCCCCTTGTGTGTGTTGTGGAAGAAAAGATATTGTGCGTCCACGCGGGTCTCTCGCCCATGATCTCCACAATGAGCCAGATGGATGCTATTGAGCGCCGCTGCGAGGTGCCCCACGAGGGTGCCATGTGCGATTTGTTGTGGTCTGACCCGGAAGATATTGAGGCGTGGGGCCTGTCCCCGCGTGGCGCCGGTTACCTTTACGGTGAAGAAGTGGTGCGCACCTTCCTCGAAACAAACAGGCTGGAGCTCTTGTGCCGCTCGCACCAGCTTGTCATGGAGGGTTACAAAGTAATGTTCAACGACACGCTTGTGACGGTATGGTCTGCTCCGAATTATTGTTACCGCTGCATGAATGTGGCATCAATATTGGAGCTGGACGAGCATCTCAACAAGAACTTTAAACTTTTTGAAGCGGCCCCGGACGATGCACGCGAGCCATCGAAGCCCTCCCTGCCGGAATACTTTTTGTAGGTGGGTTGGGTGTGCGATTAAGGAGCGTGTTCATAAACAACGCAGCCGTGTACGGGTGTTTCCGTATGCTTCTTGCTTTTCCCTTCTTGCTGGATTGAATGGGGATGGCTCTCTGACCGCTGGTATCTTTTCGCTTTTTTTTTGATACGCGTCGGCCCCTCCTCTTCTTTCCTTGGTTTTACGCTTCTCCTGTATGGTACGCTGCATGGAAGCCATGTGAATTGTGCACTCTCAGAGACGTGAATGGGGGGACACGCACGCGAACAGGGTCTGAGTAATTTGACGGTGAAGAAGCGGGGGAAGAGGCGACGGATGCTGGAGTGATGATTAACTGCATTTAGGGTTGTGGCCGGGGGAAGGGATGTACTGTTGTCAATGACTGGGAAAGAGGATTGTTGTGCCGAGTAAGGAGGGGAAAAAACGGGGAAAAACAAGAAGGGGTGCCATATCAGCGGGAGTTTTTTTTTGGGTCGCCGTCCTGACACTCAACCCACCGGGATGAGAAATGTGAAAGCGAAGAAGACAATGAAGTCGTGAAGGGTCGACAGCAGCTCTTCTATGGTGGCCGTAGTACCTTTTTTTCAGTAATTCCCTGCTCGCTTCTCTGAATTCACGGCGCAGAGTCACTGAGTTATCCTCTAGCACCACCCCACACCTGCATTTTGTGTCCGTAGAAGAGTCCCTGGGCGATTCCGGGCGGTGGGGATGCAAATTCCTTTGCACACTCCCGCAATGTGACTCCTCCTTGCACCCCTCCTGTTTTCTCCAAACAAAAAAAAATTACAGGGCAGTCAAAATCTCCGTGAGCTGGGAACAACGGGCAATATATACTTGCGTGCAAATTTTTTTGTTTGAAAGGTTGCGAGGGGAATGCTGTAGGCGAAGATGTCTCCGGAGGAATACCCAATAATAATAGTGTCTTCTTCTAGGAGCTTGTGGAGAGAATGATCGCGAGGAAGGTTGGCTAGCTAAAGTAATATATTCTGGTACAGTGAATATATTTATTTACGATACTTGCCCGTGTTTTGAAAGCCCTGCAACACCGCGATGGAAGGAGTCGAGGAATCGATAAAGACAAGACGAATGTTTTTCTTTTCGTTTTTCTTCCCATCCACACTCTTTTGATCCCCACCTTGTGGCGGGGTCTTGTGGTTGGAAGAGGACAAATTTTTCTACTTCGTAAGGAATAAACATCATCCATCTGAATAGAATGCACCGTGTCACGAGAGTGGTCTTTCGAAAACACATATATTTAATTGGAGCAAACATTGAGGATGTGGCGAATCCGCTGCCTCTCCATTTACCCCTTTTCCCTCTTTTGCTTGATTTCTCTTGATAATTTTAGGATTTGGGCAGCGGCCCAGGCGAATATTCTCCCCTATCTATTCTTGTGAATCTTGGCGCAAAGAATATTCATTGAGGGAGGAATTTATGGGTGAATTCATGGATTGGACGGCGTTCACGAGACACACACGACCACGACCACATTCTGAGGCGGAGTGGTCCAACGGCAGGTTCCTCACTTTGTCTTTGCCCAGCGAATAACCCGCCATTGAGCCACCACGTGGGCGGCGTTCTCACCATTAGCGGGCGGTGAACTAGCTGCAAGGCGGTTCCAGGACAAAGGAATGAATTGCACCTCGTTGCGACACTCTGTGGCCGCCATCACCGTGCCGAGGAACCCTGAGTCCATTCGAGCCTCTATGAAGAGGAAGAAGCACACTGCTCTTTGAAGCGATTGGGCGGCACTTGAAGGAAGGCGGTTGACGCTGCACTGGCCCATATGAGTGCGCTTGGGCTCAGTTGGAGGATAAAAAATATTGGCGTGCAGCTCAGATGCCCACGTGCAGTTCCGTGCGGAGCGCATTGGATTGGCGCTGATGCAAAAGCCGCCCACATCAATCAATGGGACGACAACTTGGCGACCATCAGCACTCAGCCAGGCGCGTCACAAGTCTCCACCACTTCCGCCATGGGAAGTTGGAATGCTTTTCACACGGCAGAGACAATCGAAAGATCATGCAGATTCATGACGTGCCAGGGGGATTAGAGCTGTTACTCGGCACACGGGGGCCCATGAGTGGAATCCGTGGGAGGCGGGGATTTGTCCGGAGGATCGCAGTCGCACCATTTGACGGCGTATTGGAATGCATGATGGATGCAACGCCTAGCCACAGCTCCTGGATGCGTCTTGGATCACCTTTGCGACGCCGGCTGCGCCAGGCCCCGGCATGCAGACAGCCGTGAGGGGAGCGGCGCGCCCTGGGCGTGCGCCATTCGCGGGGAGGAGATGCTCATGGAATCTTTTCAGTTGTCAGGGCGACTGCGTACACTCAGTCAAATGGATCCTCCGGACAGTGAATAACGATGCTGGAGCGCGGGTCCAGGACATTCAGGGTGCTGTCTAAATGCCCATAAATGGGACCGCCCATTCCACCAGGCATTTCAGAGAGCAGAGAAATAGCATGCCGCACCCCCGCCCAATGAAGCACGATGCCGCAAACGTGATTGGATTGGAAAATGCAACACGACGTGCCGAGTGAAGCTGCAAAAGGAGACCTATACACAAAAAGGACTTTTGGCCCCGGAAGCAATGACTTCTGGGCCGGCACAGGCGGGACATCGTCATCAATGTCCGGGTGTGAGCGCGCGGCATGGGTTCCTCTCAGCGCTGCGCTCGTGGTGATGCCGTGGGCCACCTCCCCAACACGTCGTGCAGCTGTCACTGTTGGTGGAAACGAGTTGGCGCGCCGTGCGACGGTGCTGTGGGCACAATTGGCGCCGGGGAAGAACGGCACACGACCATATTTTTTCAATGCCACATTGTTCCTAAGTTTGCGCATTGCACTAGGGTTGCGGAAAATACTTGCCGCTTATGGAAGAGGGCCGGTGCCATCCACAGCATCTAAGAAGGGCCTTTCGCAGGACGGACGGGTGGTGGCTTTTGGCGCCGCAGGGGGTAAGCCATCGGGGCAGAGGCGAATTGTGAGCGCGGCCTGGCAAAAGGTAAAGAAAACCCGGGAGGAACGCAAGACTATAGTTGTTCCGCCGGATCGCATCTAACACAGTTCATCCGCGCGGTCTGCTTTATTGGAATTTGAAGGCGTTTTTTTCCTGGCTGTTTTTTCCGGCTGATATGCGGGCAGTTTTCCTCTATCGAGCGGGATTTGTGCATCTCGTGTATTTTACTCGCCTTCCAGTGGGGCACGGCCGTTTCCTCGGAGTCCCCCGCATTATCGCCAAGATCCCTGCGGGCGGCTGCTGTTCTTCGAACACCACCAGTTGTTGCTTGGGGGCACGGCCCCCGCATGAGGCATGCAGCGTTGGTGCGGGTTTTTTCTTTCAGCATTATTGCTTCTTGGGGCGGTTTGCCGGCGGCTTGCCCACCCTCTAGATCGGGCCAATTGTCGCCGCACACGTTTTCTGGTGGAATGAAGCGGCCCTCAAAATTATTGGGGAATGGACTTGCAATTCTTGCTCTGGAATGGCCAACTTACGCCGCTTTGGCAACAGACGTTTTCACGCAAGGATGGGGCGCGTTTTTTTTTTGGGAAACGGCAGCAATGTTAGCGGCCGGCTGCGTGTGGAAGTTGGCGTCGCACATGGCTTTGCAAAAAGGGGTTTGGCCCTCCCTCCTTGCCCTACAAGGGTTCCGAACACGTGTTTACCGTCACTTGCGCGTTTGCTTTGGCACTGTGGCGGATTTTAAAATAAAGAGTAAGGGGAATGCGTCTCAGGATGCCTTGGCGGGCAATGCTGCCACCATTGATGGTGTGCGGCGCGATTGCGGAATGCAAGCCGCACGGTGACAAGCGGCTGAAGAGGATGCCCCAGTGTATGGATGTTCGGGAGGCCAGGCCGCAAAACTCATTAAAATTATCGAAGGGGTGGCACTTGCGAAGCACGTGGAAGGCATCTTCAGCACCTTTTCTTTGTCAGTACTTTGTGCCGACGGGTGGTGGGGAGCCATTTTTGACTACCCGTTGAGCGTCGAATGTGCATTTATCTGAGAATAAGTGCGTAGCTGCTAAATTGCGCTGTATTTTATTTTATTTTTATTTTGCGGCAAGGTAGGGCATAGACTATCATTTTACAATAAAGTTCTTTGCGCGGAGCTATATATATCTACAATATTTGTAGGGCTTTTGGAAGGGGCCTTTTTGCATTCTTTTAAGGGAACTATTATTATTATTTTGCTAACAGTCAACTCTTATGTCTTTTGAGGGAGATGCCGCGTTGCATTCATTTACCGAAGGTGGGGCTGAGCTTGCTTTCCACGATTCTCAAGTAGATGCTCTAATAACTAAGAATGAGAACTGCGCTGTGTTCCCCACGTTGACACCCAATGAGAGTGAGTCTTTGTGTATTTCTCAGTCTGTGCCTCTGGTTGATGGTGGGGATTTGCCTCTTTCCGAAAAGATTGCTGTAGGGAGAACGGCAGAGCAAGAGGGGCACAACAGTGAGGAAAGGCGTGGGCCATTGATATCGGATGAGGAAGAAAAAGCTGCGAACCCGTCTTGTATGCCCAATAAAATTCTATTTGGACTCGCATCGGTGGGAAAAATTCTTGATCCGTCTTCGGTAAATGCCACTATAAGGCGTGAAGGTCCAACTGCAGGTGGAATGCGGCATTGCAGCACATGTCCTGAATCTTCCCTTTGCGCTCAATCAGCGGAAGATACCGCCATTATGGGGAGCGACGAAAACACTACAGCTGCATTAAGGCCTCAAGTTGTGCAAGAGATGCTGCAGTGGTTGGGCGTCAAAAGGAGGGGTGATCTTCTGTCTCGGTATCTTGTCATGGGGTCTGTGGCCGCCACTCAACATGGCCATGGTGTTAATGATGCCTGTTCTTTGGGCTCCAAAGAGAAACATGTAGATCCCCAAATGCGAAACCTATTGTTGCAGGAGGTCCAACGGACTGGTTCGAGGGGGCGTTTCCCCAACAAACAGATATTTCAAAGGAAACTTGTTCTGTTGGGTCATCAGGAGGTTGGCAAGACATCTCTGCGGAAGTGCTTTGAGTCGGAGCCATATTTTTTAAAGAAGCTCCCGGACGTGAAAACGACAACGGGTGTGGAGGTTTGCAGCCAAACTATTTGTGTTGGTGAAGATTGTGTTCAGTTGATCCTGTCGGATTTTGCCGGACATGAGGTCTACCACTCACACACACGATTCCTTACCGATCGATCAATTTTTCTTCTTGTATGGAAGATATCTTCTGTTGGGCAGGACTTTCAGAGTTCTGGCATCTCTGTGAAGGAGGAGGAGCGACTTTACAAGTGGATTGCAGAGGTATATGCCAAGTTTCCTCGAGCAAAGATGGCGCTTGTGGCCACTCATTTGGATGAGCTTCGGGTACAGGGACAGCGCAGTGTGGAGAGAATCCTGTTAAGGGTGGAGAAGAAAGTCACAAGCTTCATGCAGCGCATAGCTGCCACAGACCCCACTACTGGCAAGATCGTCACCAATGAGATTGTGGGCAACTTTGCTGTGTCATGTAAGACGCGTGAATTCATTGCGACTGGTGGATTACGGCGTTTTTCTGTTCGGAAGTTAAGTGCTCTTCTGCACTTTTTTGCTGAGGTGGCACGCCGGGACTGCATGGAAGACACGGACTTCCCTGCCGCTGCTATTCCTGGGCGTCACTTGAAACTCCTGGAGATGTTAATGAACGAGAAAAAGCGATTCCCAGAGAAATTTTTTATGCCTTTGAGGGACTTTATTTATTCAGCGGTGCAGTTTGGCGTGGCCTCAGATGAGGAGCTGCTTCAAATTGCTCGTCTTATGTACAGCTGGAATATTATTTACCTCTTTAACCCGTACTGTTTCTCGGATAACAGTCCCATCATGCTACGTCCTTTGTGGTTGAGTCGCCTTGCGGCGGCTTTGTTTTCATACGCCCAGGTAATTCGCACACCACTCCATCTTCGCAGCTTAATTGGGCGTCTCGAATACACCGTAAGTGTTGCCGAGGCTGCAGACATGCACCTTATGAGCAAAGGGTTTCTTCGGTGGCCATTGGTCCGTGTATTATTCCGTGCTCCACTTTTTGATATTTTGGGCCACGAGCCTGATGATTTGGATTACACTGTGGCCGTGCGGTTTCTCATCTCCTTGAGTCTTCTTTATCCCGTTCTCATACCATGTGATGAGTTGGCGCTGCTGGAGGAGGAGACACCGATTGACATTGAGGCGGGACAGCCGATAGTTCGCGAGCCGAAAATTACACGCTACTTTGTGCCTAGCCTTTCTCCATATTTTGTCCCCGACAGCCTGAGGCGGCTTGCACCGGTTTTATTTAAGCGTGGACCAAAACTGAGGTTTTTGTTCAATCTTCTTCCGGATGAAGCATGGTGGCGGTTCCAGTTTCGACTTCATTCATACCAGCAAGTTGTCGTTCTGCAGGAACCTTGTGGAGCTTTGTTGGCAGATAACAAGGGTGATGATGATGGTGGTGATGCATTTGATGAATACCGACTTCTCGAGGCAGATGAAGAACACAACCGATGGAACGATGCCATGTGGCTCTCAGGGGACTGTTGCCGCGTCTTTTTGTATCGTGAGGGGCTTCAAGTGATACGCGTTTTTTCAGCAGAGACAAAGCCGCACGCTGCGGAGTCGGTGCTTGAAGATATCGAGCGGACCATTTCGAGTTTGCTGGGGGAGTACCGTGGATTGCAGCGGACGGTGCAAATTGAATGCCCGGAGCCAAATTGCAACGGTTGGCTAATGTCAAGTGAATTGTTGACGGGGACCAGATTAAAGTGCCAGATTTGCAAGCAGATGATCAGCACTGAAGATGTCGTTGCTTTTGCTGCCGTTGAGTGTGTTGAACCACGACGCTCTCACTGCTTTAGCGACACGCTGCTGAAGGAAGCTGGCGAGCTGCTTTGCTTTTCCTTGAATCCCATGGGATGCATGCAGTTTTGTGAGTATCTTGGGCTGGACCACACAATCCTCTGTGGCGCTATCTCCAAGGATAGCTGTAACACTGACGGTGACGAGGAGGTCACACAAACCGAACAGAATCCAGATTACATGTATGCGCTCGATAAAGTCGTTCGTGCGGCCATGCTGCGTCAGCTGCGGGAGCGCGTAGAGGAAGAAGCACGCAGGCGTCGGATGCTGGAGCCTGCTCCGACTGCACTTCAAGTATCGTTTTGATCAAACTGAAGCTTTGCTATATATATATATATATACTTACATATTTCTTTTTCCGTGTGGTGCGTGTGTTTGGGGGGGGGGGGGTGAAATTTGTGGAATTAATGCAAAGGGAGCTTTTCCCCGCCCGCATGGAGTTAAGGGTGGCGGTTGCCGAAGGGAAAGCAAACGCACGACAATTAGGCATAAACCAACATAACGAACACAAATTGAGTTGACGACAGTGAGAGCAGTGAAAGAGTTTTTTAAAAGATTTCTTTTTTTTTTTTTTTTTAACGCTTCCTTCCTTTTTAAAACTAATTTTCCTCCCAAACTTCATTTCCGCCTCTGCTGGATTCTCTGCTGGGTTACTATACGACACCAAAAAAGAAAAAACAAAACAAAAAAAACTCTTAGGGGATGGAAATTGGCCGCATTTATTGAAGGAAGCCGCTGAAGGGGGCGAACGGAAATTTGACGGTTCTTGGAACGATTATTTCTTTTTTTCTGAGCAGTCAGACCACGTGTGTGTGTGTGTGTTCTTTTGGCTGCGATGCGCGGCGAGGCGGCCTTGTTTTTTTTGTCTCCGGCGCAGCTGAAAACCCTCCTTTCACTTCCCCTTGTCTGTGTCCGTGGGTAAAAAAGAAGATTGCAGGGTTGCGCTGGCGGGCCCGTGCGTGTGTTGTGAGGGAGTCGTTGCCTCTTTCCCCCTTTTCTCCCTTTTTTTTTTTTTCGCAAGAGAACCTTCTCGTCGAGTGGGTGTGTGGGGGGAGAACAGGGGACCCGCGTTCCCGGGAGGGAGAGGAAGAGAGGAAGAGACAAACATCCTTCCCACTCCCGAAGGAGAAATAAGGAAAAGAAAATACTAAAAAAGAAAAAGGGAAAAACAAAAATGTTTGAATTATGGGACAAATTTGGCAAAAGGAACATCGCTGAAAAAGAGGAGAAAAATGGCGACGACTGCTATCTGTTTTCTGCGCTGCGGCGGCTGCATGCCAAGCTGTTGGCTGCCCAGCCAGAGTTCACGGAGGAAGATGTGATTATCATTGCGTATCCGTCACCGGGTGGATCGCCAACTCACTCGCCGAGCACGTCACCGCGTGATCGGGATGCCGATTGCGAACAGGACGATTCCTCATGGAATACGGGGGGCGAGAAATCCAGCAAAAGTAGCACGCCGACAAGGGACACAGGGAACGGGAACGTTGCATTGACTCCACCAGGTCAAGGGTCCACGTCCTCGAAGATTACGGCCATGGGCACGGGGAAGGAGCTAACTTCCCGCGATTTTCTCGCGCTGGTGCGAAACTTCGATGAGAAAGCTCTTCTGCGGAATAGGAAGGCGGCGTCGGATGCACTGAAGCTCCTGAGCGACGCATACGCCCTGACTTGGCGGGACAAGAGGTACTTTACGAGTGCAACACTTATGACTTCTGTTGGATCTTCCCGTTTGATGGCAGCATCCGCACGCGAATTGGGCGGGCGCGGCAACAGCTCTGTCCTGTCGACAGTGCGACGCCCTCTTTTTACTCCGTCATCGTCTTTTCGTGCCCCAACCCACAAACCACCTCAAAATCTGGTTTTGCTTATGGGCAAGTGTGTAGAGTCACTTTTGGTGTATGCCAACGAATCGCTGTCGTTGCGGACAATGATATCGTCAAATGTGACACTCCTGAGGTTACTGTGCTTTGTGTGTGGAGAGAGCAGAAAATTAGAGTCTTCTTCTTGTGGAAGCGGCTGGCGTGATATAGATGAAGAGCTGAATGAGCTTGTTTCCCATTGGCAATTATTTTCGCTGTCCTTGCCTCTTTTGGTTGCCTTGCAGGAGTGTTATCTCTTGGAATTCTTGCTGGATGCGGCCTTGCCACCCACAGTGTGTTCATCCAAGTATGATGGTATTGCTTTGGTACTTCACGAGAAAAAGCGACGCCTGATGACGGAGATGATGTCCAACCGAACGGGATTTGGTAGCATTACGAGGGGGTTACCTTTAATTAGTTTGGCAGCCATCGTTAGCATGTCCATTTTTGCGGAACCGAAGCTGCGAGCCCGTGTACTGGATCGCATGACGGGAGAAGGATTATTGCAGACAATTCGGGACGAGTTGGAGAGTACTGTAAATAACTTTAAGCGTCTTATGACGGGTGAGAGCGATGGCCAATCGCCGCGCACGGCATCATGCTCTCCCTCAAAGAGATCTGGTGGCTTTTTTTCTTTTTTTCAATCGAAAGCCAGACGAGTCCGACGTGAGGAAAAGATGTTGACGGGTATGCAAGACTCACCTTTGCGCCGTCTTGGTTCCTGCCTTGAGATTCTTCAGAATTTGACAGCCCCCAACTTGGCCCAGGAGGCGGCCCCCGCAACGACGATGAAGGGGGTGGTGCGTGCGACAGCGTGGGCCTCTCAAATTGAGGATGTTCGAGAGATATGCACCTCGTTACTAAATCTCTCTTCTATCATGGCTGGGAGTGATACGCCGTTTTCTTTCCTGCGTCCTCTTCAAGAACAGGTGATGGAGTGCGTTCGCCAAATTGCCAGTTATAGTGCTGTTCTGTATGGTGTCGTGGTGGAGACAGTGGATTCTGCTCTTAGCGAATATGCCCGAGAACGTACGAATGGGCAGAGGGACATTACGGCTCCTTTATTGCCTCTTCTTGTAGAGTTGTTGTGTCTTAAACAACATGCCGAGGCGAATGGAGAGTGTGTGGGACGATGGTTCACATGTCTAACAGAGTGTCTGGTGCCCCAGGCATTCGACGTGCCGGTACTCACATGCAACAGGGCTGGCAACAGATACTCGTGGTCAAAAGGGGTAAGGAGGAAATCATCCAATTCACGGTGTGATGCACCCGTTTTGGCACGAAATCTACGTCGTGAGGAAATAATATCGTTGTCTCCCTATTTCCGCTTTGCCTCGCGTCTCATTTTGGAGACAAAGTGGCGTGACGGGGCGGAACCGTTTCTTGCACGCATTGCATTGCTTGCTTATAACGTTCTTCTGACACAAGCACGGAGGCCTAATCTCATTTTTGGTCAGGCTTCCGCGTGCTACGACGCGGTCGCCCCACTTTTGGAGACGCCAAACGGTGTGCTCCCTGGTGGGTCATCGTCGGGTACGCGCGAGTTATGTGGCACCCCCACGCGGCGCAGTGGCAAGACACCGGATAGCTCATCATCACCGGGAAGGAAACGATGCCGTTCCGTCTCTGGGGGTGCCACGAACACTGGAGACGAGGTGTTTGTTCCGAGTCCCAGTCAATCTCCGTTGTTTTTGGAGGCCTATTCTTCTTTTTCTGAGGCAGAAAAGGGCCGAGATTCAGACGGAGTTTCGCGGGGGGAAGGCTCGCCTTCTTGTGCTCTGACGGCGCCATCGTGGCGGCAGCGACTTTCGCTCTCTGCCTTTCTGGGTCTCTTCGGGGAGGCATTTCCTGAGTGAGGTAGAAATGTTGTTTTTGCTTTTTCTCTGCTTTGCGTGAGTGTGTACTTTTGCTTGTGCGCATTTCTAAGGACGCGTGACACAGGGATGATGATATGAGTGAGGCTGAACTTTTTTTTCTTTCCGGCCTCCCGGGTTGAGGAGGGGGGTGGAGGAGAGAGAGAGGGGGTAAAAAAAGAAAAGTCACGACCGGGCAGGCACCTTTCATTCATGCATTATTTATTACCGTTACTTCCATATGTTGTTTTTTTGTTGCTTCTTTTTTTTTTTTCTTTGCGTAGGTTTCTCAGTCATTAGAGAGAAATTTTGGCTCTGAGGGACGCGAGCCAATTTTGGCTCCCTTTGACCGGCAGCCCCTTGACGAGGAAGAGAGTAAAAGATGCATTTTATTCCGTTCGTTTATCAGGCCTCTTTTTTTTCCATAGTTAATGCGGTAGGGTCCGTGTCTGCTTGGTATTTGACGCGGCGCCGCATGATGCTCTTTACTGGGGCGTTTAACACCACTGTGGCCGCCGTGGCTGTCTACGCCTACCCATTTGATCCTACCCTTTCCAACGCGTACGTGTCTATTGCCGCGACTTGTGCCTTCACGCAATTTATTCTTCATGGCCTTCGCACAAAGGCCTTAATGGCATCCACTCCGCTGGTGGGTGTTTACTATCTTTGGTGCCTCTCGCTTCTTGTCTACGGTGTGCAGCGAGGCAGGTGGGCGTACATCCTCCGTGATGACTGATCGCTGCGCAAGGGGGTGGGGAGGATGGCGAAGGAGCCCCTGCGGACTGGGCAATCACGGGACGAGGAAAGAAGAGCAGCTGAAAGAAAGACGGCGAGAAAGGGGAGATTATCGGCATAGAACCGTGACCAGAATAAATGAAAAATGAAAGTGGCAGCAACAACAAGAGACGTTCAAGCTGTTTTTTTTATCCTTTTTTTCTCTTCCTTTCGACTCTCAACTATTTTTTTCTTTCTGTCTGCATCTGGTCGAAGAGCACTGGGTGGGTGCACTTCATTGCATTGACGACCGCCTTTTTTCCCAACGGTACATGTGGAGTGGAAGCGTCAAATATGACGCTTTGCGTGACTCCTCCCTCTCCCTCTCCCAAAAGAAAACAACAACAAAAAGTAACAAACAAATTCTTTTCTTTTCCATATCTATACTTTTTTTTTGCGGGTTGAGTCTTAGAAGGAATTTTCTCTCCTTTTCTCTTAGTGTGTGTGGCTGCTGGCTGCCTTGCATTGGGCAGCTGCGGCGGCCTGGGGAGGCTAGAGGGAGCGGAACAGAAAACGTGCCGAACAGGGAAAGCGAGGAAGCCTATAGAGACGGCGACGGAAAAGAAAGAAACCACACAAGTTTGCCAAGGACATAAACAAACAAGCAAACAAACAGAAAGGAAGAAAGAGACTGGAGGAAAGTGTTCACATACGTGCGCACATACATACGTACATACATTACATAGAGAGGGGGGATCCTGTAGATGCCTGCACACTCGGCGACGCGGGGAACCCAGAGGGCATCTGGTCCCTGGGCCGGATTTTTTAGCTCTTCTTTTGGGAGGGCACATGCACAGGTAGCTAGCATGGAAGGCGCAAAGGCGTCGAAATCCAGCGCGTTGGTCTCTCAGACATTGCTGGATTTGCGGCAACGTATTCTTGACGAGGTGAAGGGCAATAAAAGTGCGAACAGTAAGTTGCGCCAGGCTCATCGTCAGCGGGCGTGGGAAATGGCGTTTGGTCACCCAGGCGGGGATGAGGTGGAGGTATCGACGATAGAAATTTCACTTCTTTGCCCTTATTCTCGTATGGCATTGCGGTATCCGGTACGAAGCAGAGAGTGCCAGCATCTTCAGTGCTGCGATTTGGAGTCGTGGATTTCGCTGTTAGAGAAGTGCCGTTCCATGCGAGACCCAAGGGCGCCGTGTCCTGTGTGTGAGAAGCGTGTGGCGGCCTCCACGCTGGAGATGGATTGCTGGCAATTGCACGTTTTGTCACAGATGCCTTCAGGGACACACATGCTTATTTTGGATCCCGACGGAAGCTATCGAAGCGGTGATGCCTCACGCCAGCAAAAGAAGCAACAGGTGACAGAAATCATAGAATCGACGCAGGCTCAAAAGGAGGAAGGCGATGACAATTTTTTATTGAATTCTTCCAACGGCTCCGCGTCCCCAACCCAATGGATATCGGACATTAGGATCGCTCATGTTAAACGGGAGCGGCATTCGGAGGACGCCCCTGATCCGCCTTCGCAGGGATTCCCCAGTGCCTCCAGTGGTTTGACGCAAGACGAAGACGTTTTTGCGGTTCATTACGTGGAGTCGGTGGGGACCACTCGGGTTTTGCCCAGCCAGGCTCGGTTGTGGGTGGCACACTGCCCTCGTTGCACCAGGACATTGCTGAAGAGCGAGGGGGGCGAGGTGGAGTGCTGCACTGAATGTGGTCTGGGGAGGGAGGACTGGACGCTCGTTCGGAGTTTTCCCGGCTCGTCACTCTCACTGGAGTTGACGCGCGATGGCACGTTGATTCTTCGCGGTGCCGATGCTTTGGCACCGCATTTGATTCGCGCCGGATTCTTCCGCGCCATATTTGCGGATGAGGAAGATGTCGCTTGTCCGCGCAAGGATGCTGGCATCTGGTACACCACAGCCACCCTCACACGCTACGAATTGGATTTTTTGGAGGCCTGTTGCCAGCGTCTGGCTTTCGGGGAAACGCTTGAGGGGATGCCGTCAGTCCCCGCGCTATTCCGTATCCCACGTCGACGCCTCGCCCCAAGGGAGTCTGCGTTTAAACAGTTAAGTCACCCGAGTCTTAGCGGGTAAGAGTATGTATGACTATTTCTGTCCGGTTTATTTTTTTTTTTTTTGGTTGTGCGGCTGGCCTGTGGGGTTGCCAGGGAGGGAGTGAAAGCGTTTGTTTGTTTGTGTGCGTGTGTGCATGCGGGCTCACTACGTTTTTTTTGTCTTGTTGCTTTCTTGTTTTCCTCCTTTTTTGTGGAGGTCTTTACCTTTTGTAGGTTTCTATTTCTCTCTTATCGCAGCAGACACTCCGTCCGTTTTTTTTTTTTTTTTTGTATTCACCGGCCTTTTTATCCTTTTTGATTGTTGTTGGATTGCCAGGGCTTAGGGGTTGTTTCAGTACATATATATTTTTTTCTCGTGTGTCGCTGCTGATGCGGCGCGTTGCATCCTCCATGGGAGGCTTAACGCAATGGCGATGGGGCAGTAGAGTTTCGTGGAAACGCCAGGTGTTGATTGCCTCGACTGCGCTCAGTGAATACCACTTGAGATCCATTTCCGCACTGTCGCCATCCTTGTGGACTTGCCGGCGCTTGTTTCACCAGGCGACTCGTCTTCGGCTGGAGCCGTCAAAGGGAGTTTCTGCGGCGGAGGGGACAAATACGTTCAGGACGGAATGTCCACAAGGGAAAACCAAAGAAGAAAGGCGCAAGACACAAAAACAACAGCAACCGAGGCGCCAGGAAACTGCGGTGAAGGAGAAAATTCAGCCGACAGAGGACTCCATTGTGTCAGCAGAGGCCTTAAGCAAGATTCCTGTATACCGAGTGGTGAGTCATGTCATGCGGCACTTGTGGCCGCCCGGGCAGCCAATGTATCGTGTGCTGGTTGTCACCAGTGTGATTTGCGTTGTCACGGCAAAGGTTCTGAAGGTGGCGGTGCCTTTTTGGTTTAAGATGGTCGTTGACGCCCTCGCGCCCGACCACAACGTTGCCAATGCTGTGGTCGTTCTTGGCCCATTGCAGCTTGGCGTCTTTGGGATGGTCGCCGCGTACGGCATCACTCGGCTGACAGGCTCGCTCACAGAAGAACTCAAATCCGCACTTTTTGCTCCTGTTGGCAGCCATGCATCTACTACAATTGCCATGGAGATGTTCCGAAAACTGCATTCTCTGGATTTGAACTTTCACTTAAGCCGTGAGACGGGAGTTATAAGCAAGGACCTCGATCGCGGAAGCCGTGCATTCTGGTCCCTTGCCTATGCTCTGCTATTCTTGGTTATTCCCACAGCATTTGAGGTCATGCTTGTTTGCACGGCACTACAAACTAGCGCGGGCCTTAGTTTTATCGTGACGGCTTTATCGGCTGTTTTTTCGTACATTGGATGGACGTACATTGTCTCCAACTGGCATGCAGTATACCGTGAACGGTACAACAAGGGTGATAGTCGTGTTGGTGGACTGACGGTTGATTCACTTCTCAATTATGAAACCGTGAAGTACTTTGGGAGAGAAAAACATGAAGAGGAGCGTCTTTTTCATGAGACGATTAAGACGAACCGTGAACTGGCACGGATAGATCAAACGATTTCGGTCTTAAATTTTGGTCAACAATCCATATTTGTGCTTGCTGCGTTAATGTGCTTGTACCTTTCAACGTGTGGTGTCGTGGCTGGTGCAATGACAGTGGGAGACATGGTGCTTGTGGACGCACTGCTGATGCAGCTGTATACACCGCTTAGCTTTCTTGGTATGATCTACCGTGAGATACAAACATCAACGCAGAACATGCAGGCCATGATCGTTTTGCTGGACATTGAAAGCGCCGTCAGGGAGAAGCCAGACGCGCGCCCATTGAAGCTAGGCTCTGGTACCATTGAGTTACGGGATGTGTGCTTTCACTTTAACAAAAATAGCGAGGGGAAAGGCGTTCTCCACCGTCTTTCTCTCACTATTCCGGGTGGAAGCACCGTGGCCTTTGTTGGCCCGTCGGGCAGCGGAAAGAGCACCATCTTCCGGCTTCTTTATCGCTTCTATGACCCTTCCTCCGGTCTGATTCTCATCGACGGTCAGCCGCTGACGGATCTGCAACTGAGTAGCGTTCGCAAGGCCATTGGGGTGATTCCGCAGGACACAGTTCTCTTTAACGAAACGGTGCGGTACAACATCCGCTACGGCCGTCTAGACGCGACGGACGAAGAAGTGGAGGAAGCCGCTCGTATGGCGAACATCCACGATAGCATCATGAGTATGAGCCAGCAGTACGAAACACCCGTGGGGGAACGCGGGCTGAAGCTCTCTGGCGGAGAGAAACAACGTATAGCCATTGCACGCGTTATTCTCGACGACCCCCCGATACTGCTGGCTGACGAGGCAACCTCGGCGTTAGATTCGGCGACGGAAATACGTGTGATGCAGCAGCTGCGCGAGAGGGGTGGGAAAAGGCGCACCATAATCCTTATTGCACACCGTCTCACAACCGTTAAGGACGCCGACAAAATTTTTGTCTTGGACGGCAAGGGAGGTTTGGCGGAGAGCGGCACTCACGAGGAACTTTTGGGAAAATGTGGCCTTTACGCTGAGTTATGGTTCCGACAGTTGCACGCTGCAGGGCCGGGGGAGGAGGAGGAAGAGGAGTTGTAGAGACATGATAGCGGAATGATTGAGGCACATTCGCCGCTCAAAAGAAGAAGGAGAGGAGTGAAAAAAACAAGAAAAAGAAAAAAAGAAGAATAAAACAAAAACGGTGCTTTTTTTCCTCTTCTTTATTTGATTGTGTGCCCTTATTGTATTTGTGTGGAAGTCTTTTTGGGACCGCAACGGCACTTTGTCGGTGGTAGCCAATGAAAAGCCGGCAGAAACATATATATATATATATATATATATATATATATATATATATATATATATATCCTGATAGGACGAAGATATTTCTTTACAATTTTTTCCTCTCTTATGAATCCTTTGGAAGACTGCGATGGAAGGAGTCAGCGAAACGATAATGGCAAGAAGAATTTTATTTTTATTTTCATTTTTATTTTCTTTATTTTTGCCATGCCCACTTCGCGGCGGGGTCTTGTTACTGAAAGAGCCCGAAATCTGCCACTTTGCAAGTAATAAATACCTCCAATTTGAATAGAGTGCAACATTTCACCACACTGTATATCAGTATACATGTCTGCGGGGAAAACGTGGGGGATGTGGCGAAGCCACTGCCTTTCTATTACACTCTTCATTCCCGTCCTGTTTGGCTTATTTACATATAATTTTAGAATCTGACCATCAGCCCAGGCGAATCTTTTTTTAACTTTCTTGTCTGTCCGTCTTCCCATTTCTTTGATGCACTTTTTTTTTTGATTTTATTTTTATTTGTTTATTATTTATTTTTCTGCGGGCGACGCGGGCAAATGTTTCTTTTTCACGCTACGTCGGTGTCTTTTTTTTTCCTTACGGCACTTCTTTTTTTCTTTTCGTTTTCTCTTCTGTTGTGCAAATGTGGGTATCTGTGCGAAGAGGGTGAAAGGAAGGGGGTTGGAGAGGGAGGGCATGGAGCCCACCGCCGGTTCTGCAGCTTTCTCTCCTTCCTTCCGACCAGGCTTCACGTCCGGCACCCACCGCCGCGCGCTGACCGTCGATCTCATGGGTCTGCTGGACAGCAAGGAAACTGACGGCATGGGCTGGGAAGTGGCGACGAAAGGACGTGCACCAGTGTACGTGGCCTTTGACCCGGAGCGGCTCTGGCAGATCCCTGATGGCGGTGGCGCAGAGGAGGTGGGAAACAACAGGGCCTTTCACGGCGTGATGGTTGTATTTAGTGATGGGCCTCTTTGCGGTGACGAGGGGCTCCCAGAGGTAGGCGGGGACGCCTGTTTTGGCGGATGTGTTCTGAAGTTTCTCATGTTGCGGACAGACTTCATGAGGCACCTGAGTTCTTTTTCGGCGCCACTGTGCTCCTCAACATGCGAACACAGGGAGGAGGAGGAGGAGAAAGAAGAAAAGAGGGAACGCGATGGATTTAGGGCCGTGCTTCTTTTCACAGATGTCAAGATGGAGGGAACAGACGATGATCGGGCACTGTCTGTGGTGTACGTGCAGCTGGCGAAAGGGTGGCGACATGCTGTGGATCGTGTGGCTGTGCAACGGCGTGCTGCGCAGGTTATCGATGCCGCACTGTCACTCTTTCCGAGCTCTTTGTGGGTAATCTTTTGGGTGGATTTTACAGGCATTCTTGATGCGAAGGATTCCTTATTACCACATGAAATCCGTGATGCTTGGTCGGACCTTGCCGCTGCCTCCGCCTCTACTCCATCAGCTCCCCGGGTGACGGTTCTTGTGGAGCCTGCTGCTGCACTAAAGCTGCGCCAGGATGGTGCAAAAGTGACGGGGGAGGCCGCGCCAATTTTGGCTGCAGATGCGAACCTCAGTACCGTCAAGGAGACGCTATGTATGTCGTCCGGGAGGCGTCCCTTTGATGATTCTCAGCGAGGGAGCAGTGCAAGTGAAAGGAACTGCATGGATCCTCATGAGCCACTTGTTTCCGGGGATGTCGACGGAAACGGCGAAAAGAAGGGTGGTAACAGCAGCGACGACGGGGAGGATGAATTAATTTGGAAGAAATACAAGCGCACGAAGACGAACGCTCAGGATGCTAATGACGGGAGTACCTCTAATCTTGGGCATCCTGCACACGAGGAAAGTGACGATGAGGAGGATGAGTTGCTTTGGAGGAAGTTCATGTGTGTCCTGAAGGAGGAAGCGGAGGTTTCAATGAATAATGCGACGCAAGGCCTTTCCTGTTTATTTCTGGAGTGCCCGGGCGACGATTTGTTTTCCTCACCTGGTGATGATGCATCCATACGAGAGTTGTTCGCGTCGTGGTCATCCCTCGGCTCCGGTCACCTACCGCGCACTATTGTTTTGATTGCTGGTGATGACAACCTCCTTGAGCGTACGCTGCTCTCATGGGTGAGAGTGCCGTGGAGCCAAAACGCATTGATACTTCCTGTGTTCGGCGTGAGCGAGCTCGTCACTGGCCAGCACTCTCAAGAAGGTGTAGAGTTGCCACCGTCACGATCATCTTTGCCATCTGCCGCAGCTGCTGCCTCACTGTCGATGAATCGTGATGCCGCCTCCGCTTCTCACAGGTTTTTTAGGATTTTAAATTTCGCCGTTCGGTACTTTGGCATCGATGTTCACCACAGCGCTTGTCTCTCAGTGACGCAACCTCTTATGCAGGCGGCGTGGTTGCTTGATTTTCGGGTTGTGGGAGATTACGCTCGTGTTTTTTCATGGGTCATGCAATTGCGCGCTGGGAATTCTGCAGTGCAGGGCTTGTTGGACGTCGAAAGGGAGCGGGAACGCCTTTTTGCGGAGCTGTGCGCCACCAACGAGCTGGCGCGGAAATTGCGTGAGAGTCCGCGAAGACCAGAGATTCTACTGCGCGTCATGGGATCCATGCGTGTAGGGGTTGTGCGCCCCGTTGTTTATGACGCCGTGGCATTGGCCTCGAAGTCTCTAACGTGGACGCGCGTTAGGCGCTCTCTGGACACTGCGCTCTCACTCTCGCCAGAACAACGAAGTCGGGTGTATCGTTACATGGCTTCTTTCTTCACGAAAAATGTCTTTTGCGTCTCTGTTGATATTGTGCGGTCATGCGATTCAGATTATTTTTTGGGCTACCACTTCTCTGCAGTCGGTTACTTGAGGTACGAGCTCTCAAGTTGGGTGCGGCGCCATGTGTTTGTTGAGTTACAAGTTGATTTTCAGCCATTACTGGAAGGGGATCCGTTGGGTGCGGAGACGGAGCCGCACTGGTCCCGGGTGTTCCGGCGTCTCTCCTGCACATGTACACCGCGACGTCACGAAGTGCTTCTTTGTACCGAAACTGGAGAGAAGAAATGTCGTCATTTGGCTCAGCTGCTGTATTGGTCTCTGCGTCCACGTCCGTCCTGGAACACCTCTTTCTTTAAGAAAACATTTGCTGATCAAAACCACGCGTCATAGGGGCGGCATTTGTCATGTTACTTCTGCCCCTTTGGTGGGTGTATTAAACGCAGTGAAGCAGGGTGGGGCGGCGTGTTTTTCCCGAACGGAGCCTGACATGACGAATGGTGGAGGTGGAAATGATTTTTCAAGAGAGAGAATCCTGAATGGTGTGCCACGCGTGGGTGATGATGTGAGCCTGCTGGAATTCACTCGTAGGCTCGGGATCACTCGGGACTCATAGAAGCAGTGGGATATGGTGCGGAGGCGTCCAGAGTGGATTGCTCTCTTTCTCCCGTAGTCTCACTTGCGTCTTTGCGCCTCATTGTGTGGGAGGGGCGGGTGAAACTGCATGTGTTTGCAGCCGTGGCTTTGGAGGCTGACGGCACTGCATGGCACCCTTCTCCTTCTTCTTTCTTCGCCCTTTTTTTGTAGTAGGTGCGAGTGATGATTGGCAGCGGGAGTGGTGGAGGCGGTACCGATGCTGGTGTGCCCCTCAATAATTGACGGGGGGATGCATGCATCTGCGTCCCAACGCATTTTATGCAAAAAAAAAAGATGCGATTTTTCTTGTTTTTTTTGGTTTGTTTTGTTTTTGCCGAAAGACAAAATGTCGTGTGATGATGATGATGCCCTGCCCCCTGCCAAATACTCGCACACACACAAAGAGAGAGCGAGGGAGGGAAGGGGGAGACGTTGTTAACTGAAGGAGAAATTTTATCTTATTTTTTCTGTGTGCAGGACGGTGTCCTGCTTTTCGTAGCAATCAGCGAAGGGCGGGAGAAAAATTGTTTTCACTCCGCTGCAAACAAAAAACAAACACTAACACGCACAAAACCAGTACTTTTTGGATCCTTTTTCTTTTTGCCTCTGTTGTTCTATGGGCAGCAGCCGGGGCGGACCGCGGTGAAGGGAGGGGGGGGCGCCGCTTTTTTTTTTTTGCAGCCTTTTAGTCGTGGCCGCACCACCGGTGGAGGGAAGAGATAGAAAGTGATGCGCAGGGCGGCCACAAAGGATCCCGCGGAGCCGGCGTCTCTTCCGCCAGATGATTCTCTGCAGTTCACACCGATTGGAGGAGTGGAGTCAACATTCATTGAGGCCGACGAGGAACTTATCCGCACTGCTGGCGTCGCGACCCTTGAGGCGGACCGTTCACAACGGGAGGTGGAGCGCTGGCGTCTCGAGGCGAGTGCGCAGATGCATTGCCTCACGAAAGTGCGCCGCGAAAAAGCACTTCTTTTAAGGGAGGTATTGCAGCTTGAGAAGAGCCTGGAAGAGGCGAGAGAAGCCGCGGCTGTGCCCACCTCAAAGGAAACATGTTCCTTGATCCACGGGGGTCGGAGCATACTGGGTGATGTGTGCGATCCACATGGAGATGGAATTATTGTCGTGCCAGGCACCTTCACGCTGGAAAAGAAGGGAGGCGTGACGGCGGAGGAGGTGGAGTTGCGCTACCTCATCAGCCGTGCCATTTCGTCATTGGACTCCCTACAGGCGGAGATTGCTGCCCTTAGACAACAGCATGCTGACTTGTGGCACCGGAAGCGTGAGATCACAGAAGATTCCAAGCGTCTGAACGCCACATATCAACGACAGAAAAAGCAACGAGAGGAGTTGTTGGAGAAAAAACTTTTTGTTGAGGCCGCGGAGGCTGATCCGGCGTTCCGTGAGGCTCTACAGAAGAGAATGGAGCTGAAGGATCTTGTTCGACACGCGGCTGATCGTCGTGCGGCGCTGAAGCAGTTGCGAATGGAACGCGCCTCGATGATTGGACACCTTTTAGAGGGTGCCATGTCCCGTGAGAGGGACGCCTGCAATCTGCATGTAAGGATAGCGAAGAAGAAAGGGTTCATTGGCCACCCCATGCACGACATGCTAATGGCCTTGCAAAAGGAAAACAAGGAAATACGTGCAAAATATCTGCAGATGGTCCGTGGCAGCAAGGAGGAGGATGCGGTTCTTTCAGATTACTTGGATGTGCTGGAGGAGCGACTGCTGCTGGATTGGATGGCTGACGCCTCCCATGACAAGGCCGTTTGAATATTTTTTTTTGTTTCCTTTTTATTGAAGTATGGAATTGCGGGCTGGCTTTAACAAAGATTTATCGTTGGACGCTGAAGAAGCGTTTTTTGTCGGAATGGAAACGGGGAAACAAGAAATCACAAGAAGGAATCTGCGGGGAGGAGGGGTATGAAAAATAAGTGACTGACTGACTGTTTATTTATTTATTTATTTATTGTTGTGTTTATTTAATTGTTTCTTTTATAAATGTAATTTGCTTCTGTGCGGAGCGGTTGTGTCGCTTTTTTTTTTTTTTTTTGTGTGTGTGTTTGTTGTTGTTTCCTCTCTAGTCACAGGCCGGATGGTGAGAGTCTTGTGTCTTCACGGAAAGCGACAGACGGGGGAAATTTTTGAGCACCAGCTGAACAAACTTTGCAGGTTTCTCTCTGGTGTTGCCGAGCTTGAGTTTGTAGATGCCCCATGCGTTCTCACAGGTGAGATGGTGACGGGTGACGCGGTGGTCACGCGCTCATGGTGCGAACCAAAAGACGGCGGCACAAGGGACAGTTACGCGGCGGGAGACGACTTTGTGCGACGCTGCATGACTTCAGGAGGCAGCTCGTACGATCTTCTCTTAGGATTTTCTCAAGGCGCACTCCTTGCGGCTCGCTACGTGATGCTGCAGAAAATGAACGGGGAGAGAGAATACGGACCGCCAGTGAAGGCTGTTATCATTGCGGCGTCGCCGGACCCACGCCGTGTCTTCCCGGAGTTTGTGGCATCATATCTTTATCACATGCCGCAACATGACATCAACAGAACCGGCTTTTTGGGCGCCGTGCCCTCTTTGCACATCGTTGGGGAGAAGGATGCCATCGTCGATCCGGCGGAGAGTTGCTCCTTTGCGGAGGCATGTCGACCACAGTCAGAGCTCCTTTTCCACGCCCACGCCCACAGCATCCCGCAACTGAGGAGTGTTCTTGTTTCCATAAAGTCTTTTATTGAGCGCATCGCTGTCTATACAGGGGAAAGGGGTGAAACGGAGAAAACAGAGGCGACGCTTGAAAGGGAAAATGATGATGATGATGATGATGATAGCGGATCCCTTGATGCAGCATGCGAAGAGGAGATTGGGTTGGTGACATCGATGTATGGTGAGGAGTGTGTGCAACGCAATAAGACCCCAGTGGTTTTTTTGCCGCTTCTGCTTGACGGTGTGTCGGATGAAGCGTCAGACATGTCACTGTCGGCCCTTAGAATTTGCATGACTCTGCCAAGGCGGTATCCGGCGGAGTTACCCAAGCTGGACGTGGTTGGAGGCCCTGCGACTCATCACGTTTTCTTTGAGCGCTGGAAGTTGCAGCTGATTACCAAAACACTCGCGTACCTGCGGGACGATTTGGGTGTTGGAAACGCCATGCTTCTTCCTGCGATGATGTTTGCAGGCGAACAGGCGGCTAGTGACGTGGCATTTCTGCGTTCGGTCATGTCTGCCAAGGCGAGTGC